TCAATTGGCAGGGCTGAGCCAAGACGTCCTAGTTTCTGCGTTTAGATCCACATCCAAGCTTTTTAATTCAGTGTCTGATCCACCCATGGGATGCCCACATTCATGTCCCTGCTCTGCCTGCTTCAGAACAACGTTTTCCATCCCAGATTGCTCTAAATCAGGCACAGCCAGGTCTTGGGTCTCCCACAACCCAGGTCAGAGCCTTAACCCCCAGCCATGCAACATCAGCCTTTTTTACCTGAAACCGTTGAAACCCATTATACATCTCCTAGACATATGCAGTCCTGTGGCAGCCATGTCGGTCCCAAAATATTAGAGTGTCACAGCGGCTGAGGTAATCTCTTTTACCTCACCAACAGAACCCAGTTCAATAGAAGATGTTACATCACCCACCCTGTCCCGCTAACATCTGTGGACACTGTATAGGCTTCAGTGAAACATCTGGTGGTGGAATTTCATTTCACTGGCCAAGTTCCAACCAGCTCTGTCTTTCACCCTATCTCATCTTGGACACCCCATGCTGTGTTGCCACTAACACCACCAAGATTAGGTGTCGGTCAGAGAGATCTGAGTTGGCAATATGTATGGGCCAGTGGTGCTGCAGTCTGGGACACACTGGGCCAGAACAGAGTCACTTTCACAATATCCTAGGTTGCAGGGCACGCAAGGTTTGATCCAGGCAGCGAGTCACATGCAGAGCTGTCAACTGTCATGATTTTGTCATGAGACTCGTGGTAATGATTGTTTTCCTTAAAGCCCCAGATCCTGGAGCCAAGTGGACATGTGATGATTTCAGCCTTTGTTCTTAAAGAAAAAGTAAGTTCCCAGGCCTTGCAGCTGTGGAGAATGCTTCAAAACACAACCCAGGATTCAAAAAGCAGAAGGCAAATAAAAAGAACACCGTATCTATTATTGTATTATATTATTATAGGCTGCCTGCTATTCCCCTTCCTTTTCAGTGCAAGGAAGTTGCAATCACTTTCCACACCCACAGGCTTCTTCCCCTGTTTGACATTCTGCCATCAGGGCCCTCTGCCATAACCGAGGCTGAGGGAGGCTGGCAAAACCCTGGGGTGAATCCACCCAGCCCAGAGAATTGTCTGGTTTCTGGGTAGGCAGCCCTAAAGATTCCGTTTGGATGGATCTCACCGCCTTGCATGGCATTCCCTTTTTTGCATCCTTAGCTCTCGCCCTGTTAGAGCCGGCTGAGAAAATAGACGTGAAAAGTCATTCTCAAGAGAATTCAGTGAGTCTGATAAGGCTGGGTGGGCCAACTGCAAGCAAGGCAGGCCATGATCTTGCTGAAGAACTGAGCTACAAAACAAGCTGAGCACGGACAGATGAAGGCTGATCTTGGGAGAAGAAAGTTACAGTGCGAGCAACGTGACCTCTTGGTCCATCTTGGCCCCACCCTGCAAGGTACTTCGTACCCTCAGGCCTGGCTGACTCCAGTGGAGGTGGCTGGGCCCCTTGCAGGAACCACTCAGCATCAAGCCCGTTGGGAGGAAGCTGGACTATAAAAAACCAGGACTATGTAGCAGTTTAAAGACTAACAAGATGGTTTAACAGGTGATGAGCTTTCGTGGGCCAAACCCACTTCCTCAGATCAAATAGTGGAAGAAAATAGTCACAACCATATATACCAAAGGATACAATTAAAAAAAATGAACACATATGAAAAGGACAAATCAAATTTCAGAACAGAAGGGGGGAGGTAAATGTCTGTGAGCTAATGATATTAGAGGTGATAATTGGGGAAGCTATCTTTGTAATGGGTAAGATAATTGGTATATCCTTTGGTATATATGGTTGTGACAATTTTCTTCTACTATTTGATCTGAGGAAGTTGGTCTGGCCCACGAAAGCTCATCACCTATTAAACCATCCTGTTAGTCTTTAGAGTGCTACATAGTCCTGTTTTTTGTTTCAGCTACACCAGACTAACACGGCTACATGTCTATCACTATAAAAAGCACACATGGAAGTGATGAGTGAAACAGAATGAAATAAAGCAAAAGATGGAGAGGACATGGAAGGGGAAAGGCCCTAAATGAGGAGTAACTCCACTGAAGCCAAGGGAGCTGGGTGGATGTAAATGAGATCAGAATCAGTCCCAAAATGTACACAGGTAAATGACTGTATTGAGTGTAGTTGAGTCATATAGACATGTAGTGTTGCAAGTGATCTTGAGAGGTCATCTAGTCCATCCCTCCTGACTACCCAGTACTCTCAGACCATCCTTGACAGCTGTTCTTAAAAACCTCCAGGGAAGGGGATTCCACAACCTCCCATGGAAACCATTTCTAGAATTCAGTTAACCGAAATCTCCCTTGCTGCCGATTCAGTCCTACCTTCGTGCCCATGGAGAACAATCAATCACCCATCTGTGTAATAACACCCCTTATCGGAGTTGAAGATTGTTATCAAGTCCCCTCTCAGTCTTCTTTTCTCAAGACTAACCAGGTCCAGTTTTTTAAACCTTTCTTTAAATGTCTTTATTATTAAGGTCACATACCCATCTTTGCATGGTGCATATACCTGCTTAATTTAAGTTTCCACTTTAGGCATCTGACAATCTGGGCACCAGCCCATGAAAGCTTATGCACTAATAAATTGATTAGTCTTTAAGGTGCCCTAGGACTCCTTATTGTTTTTGTTGAAAAAGACTGACCCTGCTACCCCTCTGACACCTATGCCACCTTAAGGATTTAGAGTACTTTAAAATCTTATCCCAGTCTGGGGCTGGCTAATGGTTTCAGGAGGTCCTGACAAGTCTTTACCCTCAAAGGCACAATGACCAACACCGACTGACTGTCGTGGGACCTGGGTGCCTTTGGAAATCTGCCCTTTCCGCACTTGGGTTGAAATTCTCGACCATGGACTTCGCCAAGATCTCACCCTTAAGCTGCGGCAGGGACCTTTGGAGAAATACACGTGGTTCAGATCTGGCCCTAAAGCCTCATTGCACAGAAGCTGGCCTCCCTTTTGGGGAACAGAGGTGACCTTCCTGGCTGCTGTTTCTCGTAAAACATCATAGAATCATAGACCCTCTAGGGATGGAGACTCCACTACTTCCCTAGGTAACCTAACCCCCAACAGCCTCTACGTCTTCCCTTGGGAGTCCAGGGAGCTGAGCCAGCATCGCTGCCCTGAACATGGAGAGGTGTGTCAGACCTTGTAGACACAGTCCTCTACCTGCAGAGAGCAAGATGAGCTCATGTCTTGCCACCTTCAGCATAAAACGGATAATTATTTCTCTCCATGGGACTCCCCCAAAAACCAGTGTCTTGGAGAAAGGGAAGCTGCTGCGGTTACAGATGAAGGATGAAGAAGAAGGTGGGACAAGAGAGGATTGTGTGAGAGAAGGTTGGAAAAAACGGAGTTTGTTTAGTCTGGGGAAGACTAAGAGGGGACATGAGAACAGCTTTCAAGTACATAAAAGGGTGTTACTCCTTGGCCTCTGAGGATAGGACAAAAAGCAATGCAAGAGAGCATTGCAGCAAGGGAGGTTTATGTTCGACATTAGAAAAAACTTCCTAACTGTCAGGGGGGTTAAACACTGGAATAAATTGCCTAGGGAGGTTGAGGAATCTCCATCACTGGAGATATTTAAGAGCAGGTTAGACAGACATCTATCAGGGATGATGTAGATCGGTGATTCTCAACTAGGGGTACGCATACCCCGGGGGTACACAGAGGTCTGCCAAGGGACACATTCACTCAGCTAGCTATATGCCTAGTTTTACAACAGCCCTAGCGAAGTCAGTATACACTAAAATTTCATACAATGACTTGTTTATACTACTCTACACACTATTCCCTGAAATGTGAGTACAATATTTATACTCCAGTTGCTTCATTTTATAATTAAATGGTAAAAAGGAGAAAGTGGGCACATTTTCAGGAATAGTGTGCTGTGACGTATCTGTATACTTATGCCTAATGTTGTAGGCTGGAAGTGAGTGAATCTTGGGGGTACACAAGACAATCAGACTCCTTAAAGGGGGATAGGAGTCTGGAAAGGTTGGGAGCCACTGGTGTAGATCAGTGGTGCACAAACTTTTCCTATCGCCCCCCCCATCAGTAATGGGATCTGTCTGACCCCCCCTCTCCATTACTGCACAGTTGGCTCAGCAAGGGAGCTTGATCTGAAGGCAGAGCTGAGGATGGGGAAGAAGCTGAGGTAAGAGGCAGAGCTGACCTGGGGGCAGAGAGGGAATCAGGGCAGATCTGGGCTGAGCATGGGGCTAGAGCAGGACTGGGTGGCACTGCCTACTTGCCTGGTGTGGGGGCTGGCCCAGGCCCCACGATGTGTCCCCCCAAATGTTCCTCCATGCTCCCCAGAGGGCGTGTCCCACAATTTGGGGCTCTAGTCCTGCTGTGGGGGCAGGGGACTGGACTCAATGACCGCTCGGTATCCCTTCCAGGCCTATGAGACTATGAATTGCATTTCAGCTGTGGAAGGCCAGGTAACGTAGTGGAGAGGCTGCTGGTTTGGTGCTAGGAAGGACTTGGTTCTTCTCCCAGCTACGGCCTTGGCCAACTCACTTTACCTCTGCCTCTCTTCTCACCCTTTGTCTGAGCTCTTCACGCCTGGACTGTCTCTCAGCACGTCTGTGATGGCTGCCATCGCCATGGGGCCTCCAGACACTGCTGGGACGCACAATAGCGGCCTGCTAGTAAAATGGTGCGATTCCCCCTCTGACCAGCTCCTGAGACCTGACGCTAGTGAAGGGTAAAAGTGGATGACTCTATCCATGGCACCGCACCCTAGAAAGAGAGCTGCCATTGCCGCCGATTCCTTGAACTCCACAGGGCAATGGGAATAGCTGGTATATACAGCCCTGTAGTTACACAGGCAAGAGCAGAACCAAACAGAGCTGCAATTCAGTGTGGTGCAAGAGGGTGATGCTCGGCTTGTAGATCCAT